ACAAGCTATTAGCAACTCACACCTTGTGTGACTAGGCTGGAAAAGACATCTTTGGATGTACATAATGTTAATGTAGGCAAAGCATTTCTCATTGAACAACTTTCTTACAGACTCAACCAAGGGATGTTAGCTCATTGGAGAGAACAGATTAAGTTTATGAAGACCAATGGTGTTACTGAACCGAGTGATAGGAACTGGACCTCACATATTGTGATGGTGCTGAAACCAGTTGGATCACAATGATTAAGTGTAGATTAGTGCAAAGTCAATATAGTAACAAGGGCAGATTCCTTTCCAGTTTCATGTTTGAAGGCTTGTATTGAGAGGATTGGACAAACCTGGTATATTGTAAGAACTGACATGCTAAAAGGATATTTAGAAGTTCATTGACTACTACAGCCAAAGGAATATCCACTTTTAATAACACCGGATCAGTAACACCGTGCAGGCCTTTTGGAATGAAAAATAATCCAGCAACTTCTCAAAATGAACCAATAATGTCATCAAAGGATGACGCAACTATACTGTGTATATGGATGACTTGGTTGAGTTCGGGCAAACTTGGAAATAACTAAATGAATTGTTTGGTCAAATACAAAGAGCTAATTTGGACATAAATTTAATTAAAAGTAAACTTTCCAAAGGAAAAGAGACTTTTTGGCACAAGGTCAAGTAATACCCAGAGGAGCAAAAATAGACTAAGATATTAAAGAGTGAATAAAGGAGTGATATGTCAATGGGGTTGAGTGTCTGTAAAGGATATTGTTGGGAGAAGTGTTGTATGTTTATTGTTTATGATAGGACCTTTCCATATTATCACATAAAGATTATATATACACTACATATATACGTTTTGTATTTTTTAAATAATAAACTCATGTTCCTTTGGTAAAAGTGCATTGGCAGTCTCATGATTGACCACCAGCTAACCAAATTGTAAAAATAAACCAGCCCAGCTCGTCCCCACCTCCCTAACCTGTTCTTCCTCCCACCTCAAGCCGCACCCCCATCTTCTACCTACTAACCTCATCCTGTCCCCTTGACCTGTCCGTCCTCCCTGGACTGACCTATCCCCTCCCTAACTCCCCACCTACACTCACCTTTACTGGCTCCATCCCCGCCTCTTCGACCTGTCTGTTTCCTCTCCACCTATCTTTTCCTCTATCCATCTTCTATCCGCCTCCCACTCTCTCCCTATTTATTTCAGAACCCCCTTCCCCTCCCCCATTTCTGATGCAGGGTCTAGGCCCGAAACGTCAGCCTTTCTGCTCCTATGATGCTGCTTGGCCTGCTGTATTCATCCAGCTCTGCACCTTGTTGTCTCCGATTCTCCAGCATCTGCAGTTCCTACTATCTCTGTAAAAATAAAGTTTCTGATTTATCAAGCTGGGTTTCACTCTGGAATCTGACTGGTCCACCAAGCTGGAATCATAAAATCCTGAAAGTTTCAGTAATTCTGTCTAACAAGTCAATCTAACCCATAGCTATGGTTATTGTGCAATAATATTGTGCAAGAGTGTCTTCTCTTTAAAGCTCACTACTGGTTCATTCTCCACGAATGTTGATGAAACAGACCCTTAAACCCTGTACAGAAAGGACCTTGATGAGCACTCCAGCCTAAACATGAACATTGATCACAGATACATAGAAGCCAAAAGTACTTAGGATGCTGTAAATCAGAGACAAAAATAGAAATTGTTGGAAAAGCTCAGCAGGTCTGGCAGCATCTGTGGAGATAAGTCAAGAGTTAATGAGTTGGGCGGAGAAACCCTTCCTCAGAACTCTTTCTGCTTCATCGTGGTACATTGGAACATTTGGCTGTTCCCCGATTGAGGGTCCTGTTCTGCTTTGCTCTGTCCCTGGATATAGGCACGGTTTTAAAAAGGAACAGCGAAATTTATTTGCATGTCCTGCACATACATTTATCCCTCGAAAGGCATCATTGATTGTAGGATTTTGCCGCGCACAAATTGACAGCTGTGCTCCAGACAATAAGAACTGTACTTGAAAGTTACTTCACTGGTTTAAAAATGCTTCAGGACATCCTGGTGTTGTGAAAGGTGCTATGGAAATACAAGTGTTTCTTTGTTTTAGGGCACTAATTGTATATAAGTGCCAAGCAGAATCACTTTACATTCTAACCTTGGGTGAGGGTGATCAGCAAAGTTACTTGGTTATAGGTCAATGCATAATACAATTTCATTCGTCAAACTCAAATTGGATGCAATCTCTCAGGTCCAAGAACAAAAACAAGAACGTATTTCTTTTTTAAGAATTTTTCAATCATCCCACACTTGGAACTAATACAAATGGAGGTCTATGTGAATACTTTTACCATGTAGCAGTTTCCTTGATTATAGTTACCGTCTCATTACAATTGAAAAATGAAGGTAGAAGTGTTTAACATTCAGATCTATAGATGGCACTATTGTAAAAGCAGTACATGTCGTCAGTTGGAGAGATGGGAGGGCACCCTCATCTCCAGTGAGAGCTGGCTGCTGAAGCAGAGCTACAACACAGAGGCCTCAGCAGAACTGTAGCTCCGAGCTTCACCCCCTCACGTTTGAACGGTTCAGGATCCACTCCAGGGTCTGAGCACAAAGGACGCAGTTGGCTCTCTCTCCTGTATGGGACTTGAGAGGGAAGGGGGCAGCCTTGTGGGTGAGACGTTAAACACAGGCACCGAATGCCCTGTCAAGTGGGCAGTGCTTCAAAGAGGAGCAGGACAGTTCCTCCTGGTGTCTTGGGATCAAAGTTTATCCTTCAATCAACATTACAAAAACAAAATTCCTGGTCATTGGTCTTGTTGTTTGTGGGATCTTGCTCTTCATAAATTAACTGCAACAGGTCCTATATTAGTGGTTACTCATCAGAAAGCTGCTCATTGGCTAAAGGCAATGTGATAATAGCCTGGTGACCGGTGTGAGCGGCTGTAGTCAAGAGATTGGTGAATACAGGGGAGAACTGCCCCTGCTCTTTGTTAAAATAGCACTGACCTAATATAATAAACAGGACGACAATTTAACAGCTCCTCCTTCATTACCTGTACTGCCAGTTTAAGCCAGCACATCAGCTCTGAAGAAAAGTCATATCAGACTTGAAACGTTAACAGTTTCTCTCCGCCAGACCTGGCTCAGCACTTTGTTTTTATTATTTCAGCACTTCCCAAACTATTTTTCAATGTGACCTCATTTTAAAACTTCAATATTAGCATGACTCCAGACACAAAAGTAAAACAGCAATAAAACAATATTTAGTTAATAAACCATAAATTTTGTGCATTGCAAACCAGCATGATATATGATAGAAACCTGTGCCAATAATCCAGGACTCTGAGTGATCAGGTTTCTGCTGGTCACTAAACTAGCATCCAGCCAATTCGCCAGTAATCTGGAAGATCTGCCATATTAGACTCATGCATTGTACACTTGATCTGTTTAGTTCCTGGTCAATGGTAACCCCCAGGATGTTGATAGTGGGGGATTCAGTGATGGTAATACCATTGAATGTCAAGTGACGATGGCTCAATTCTGTCTTCTTCTAAATGGTCATTGCCTGGCATTTGTATGGCATAATTAGTACTTGTCACCTTTCAGATCAAACCAGGGTATTATCCAGGTCTTACTTCATTTGGAAACAGAATGTTTTGGTGTGTGAGCAGTCACAAATGGTGCAGAACATTGTGCAATCATCAGCGAATATCCTCACTTCTGACCTTGTGATGGAGGGAAGGTGATTGATGAAACAGCTGAAGATGGCCGGGCTGAGGACACTAGGATCATAAAATCCCTACCGTGTGGAACGAGGCTATTCAGCACATCCAGTCAGCACCAACCCAACGAAGAGCATCCCACCCAAACCCTGACCTTGTAACCTCACATTTTATCAAGGCTAACCCACCTAGCCTATACATCCCTGGACACTACAGGGCAAAATATAGCATGGCCAATCTACCTAGCCTTTAGTGCTTGCTGATTGGCTGGTTTAATCATATGGTTATGGCCATGTGCTTTAAAAATGACCAATCATCTCAATCTCCTTCCATTCCCCTTACCACCTCCTCCTTTGATCCCCTCCCACACATACTCTCATACCATCCTTCTACCCCTCAAACCTCTTCCTTCTCTTGTTCCTCCACCTCTGCCTCCTGCCTTGCTCCTAATGACTGTGCCAACCAGATTGGTCAGTATTAAAAAGCACATGATCAAAACCATATGATTAAAACTAGCCAATCCACAAGTGATAAAGGATCTACAATCAGTCTTCACCTTGTCAATATGCTCAGGTTTGATTGAATAATAAAAAAAGGTAGGAACTTTGAAATTAAATGCTTGTTTTCATTTAATGGTATAAAGGAAGCCCTAACTATTCATGGCATTTATAGATTTGGCAGATATAAATAATATATGGAATTCTGAAAAAAAATCTTAAAATATCTTCAACAACTTAAAACTCACCAGTATATTAGTGACTCCCACACCATGGATCCTTATTCATGTCTCTAATGTTGGAATGGCAATATAGAGGGCACCATGAAGAAATGAGGCCATTCAGCCCTTTTAGCTTGCCTCATTAAGGTTCTGGTCAATATTATACCTTAAGTCCTCTTCACTGCACACCCCCATAAGCCCTTGGCTCTCTTCATGCTGACAAAACTCTGAACCCCAGTCTTGTACGTGTACTATAACTGAGCATTCGCAGCTCTCTGGAGTGGTAAAAATCCAAAGATTTACAACCCTTTGAGTGAAAATATTTTTCATCTGACCCTAAAGTAGTTATAGACTCTCCAGTCCAGAGTCTCTCAACAGCTACTGAATCAAGTTCTGGAAGACCATGAACACAAGAAATTGTAAAGATATTTGTAAAATAAAAATCAAAATGTTCTAAAATGAAAGAAGAATGCTGTTAATAAGAAAGCAAATAGAAAAAAATCAAGAAAGGAGCAATAATCTGTACTCATTAAATGACGTTAATACAACAGAAATAAACCTGACACAATGCAAGTTGTAAACGTGGTGTGCTCCAGATTTTATTTTGTGTAAATTTATCTGCAATAGCATGAACAGATTATAATGTATTGTCCTTTCTGATGCACTAGTCTAATCTCAAAAGGGAAAACAATATGTCCAAAGCTTTAGGAATTAGCCCCAGTAGTAGTCAAAAGTCACACTCATCCATTTATTTACATTCTAGGTTCTGTCAAACATAAAAGCTCCAGGCTTTTAATATTGAAATAACTTTGAAACTGAAAACCTTTATTTTTAAAAGAACATCTTTTGTTTCTCTCTGCGAGAGATTAAATGATCATTTGTTCTAGTCTGACAATGGTCCACACATTCAAAAAAGTGGATTCAATTCCAAGAATTTTTTTATTATTGTTTAATGTACATTGTGCTGCAAAATAAAAAGCTGAATCTTATTTGTGGTTGTTTGTATATTAAGGAAAGTTAACTTCATGAATTTGGAATGTAATTTATTCCATTAGGGAAAAAAAAAATTCAAGCAGCCATAAAGAAACTGTGATAACTGAATATAGTGAAGGGCAGAACGCAGTGATACTCAAAACACAAAGATACGAGAAGTAATTTTAAAGACTTAAACACTGTCTTTGCTACGACCATTCCAGCACAGGGGAACATGTGGGTGTGGTTCCACTTTGAACCAAAGCTACAGTCAGTTTTCTGACCCATTTTATTGAATAGTTCTTGAGTAAAACCATTATTACTATATGAATTGTAAATACAGAGTTACACTTGGCCCTTACCCAGGAGCCACTTGAAACTAACACAAAGAATTCTGGAGAAATTCAGCAGGTTTGGCAGATTTAATGTTTCAAGTCTGATAAGACTTCTTAAGAATGGCCACTGGGCCCAAAACGTTAACTCAGTTTGTTTCTCCATAGATGCTACCACACCTGCTGAGTATGTTCAGCATTCTCTGTGATTTCCAGCACCTGCACTGTCTTGCTTTTATTTACAAGAACCAACCGAGGTGTGGGACAGAATGAGAAAGAAGAGAGCGATATTAATTCCTTTAGCAATTCTTACACCCAGCCATTCCAGGTTAATGCCCTGACTCCCTCAATTGCTTGTAAACTCTATATGATCCAGCCTCACATCTCCTCCTGTAATGTAGTGTGAATGTAATGCATTAAAATACTGTGATCATTTTCTTCGTGCAATTGCCAAGCAACACATCGTTTCACCAACATTTTGAATACATGGGCAAGAAAAATCATTAGACATGTTAACAATGTACATGGAAGTCTGAGCGTTTTGTTCAGAATTTAAATGGGAAAGTTCCTCGTATGATTACCAGTCATAAGATTATGTCTTTCTAAACCTTGTTTAAATTATACGTAAAGCACGCATACCTTTCTTCCAACTTCAGCATGTGAATTTTGAATGCAGAAATAACTAGAGAGAACACAAGAATGAGCTGATGCTGCATCATATAGATAACAAAACTGTTGCCATAACTTAAACCGGTGACCTCCTTGCAAATAGTTCTTTTGAACAAGTTTTTAGAGATAGTGTAAGGAAATAATTAAGAAATAAAAATTCCAACAGTTGCTATTGAAAAACAACAGACAAGCCAGCTACTGACACAAAACGTTTACACACAATGCAGTTCTAACAGAAGGTGTGTTGCATTCTCAGGAGAGAACAGTGAGAGCTTGGAATGATTTCTCTTCAGTCTTTACTTGTTTATTGAAAGCTAACTCCAGATTTGTAAAAATGTGCAAGTTATCAGTCAGGCTTCTGTGTATCAGGCACAGCATCTTCTACCTAGTCAACTGGCCAACAACTTTCAACAAGGTCTTGTTTTCTTGCTTTAGTTGGTCATTTTCATCTTCAATTTCATCCAAATCCTTGAACAGAGATGAGAAGAATAGAAAAAAAAAAGTTCTTTACCAAGGAGAGATGAGCTGTCAGTTCAAAAACAAAAGCAATATTAGAAGGAAAAGGCTGTTTTCGCCCATTGAGTTTGCTCTGCTGTGTACGGTTAGATCACTAATTGTGATCTGTATCTCAACGTATCCATTTTTTGGACAAACAAAAGACAAGAATCACAGAGAATACTTATAATAAAACCTATGAATAACAGTTTTGGAAGTTCCATAGACCACTCCCCTGCCCCCAAACTCCCACAAAGCTTGCCCCCCACCAACACCCTTTACACTTTCAGATTTCCGACAAGAGTTACATGCATTTTTATTGTGTCATTTACAAAGTCCCAAAGCAGTTCACTGGATTACTGCCAGACAAAATCGAAAAGAAGACGTTATAAGGAGATATGATGGACGTTGCCGAAAAGCCTAATCGAACAGGTAGGTTTAAAAGGAGTGTCTTAAAGAAGGAGAGAGAGGCTGAGAGGGAAAGTGATTTGAGGGCAGAATGCAAGTGCTTTGGGAGCAGAAGACGGACTTCCAACGTTGGGGTGGCTAAAACTGGACAATGCTCAAAGACCAATATCAGGGGAATGCACAGATCCTGGGAGGGGGGCAGCTACACCCAAAGGAGACAATTACAAAGGTTTGTCCTGAAAGGAATGGGATTGACCAAGGGAGCGGTTGTTCACCTGGTGTGAAAACAGTCCCTCTCCCTGCAGTAGTAAATCCTGAAATCTGTTTTCTGGCAGCAATTCCAGCTACTCCATGAAGTGAGTAACAGTTTAATGCTCTCGAATGACAACTGCTTTTGGTGGACTGGAGACACCTGTACTACCTCTGGCCAACACCGATGGGCCAAAGGGCCTCTTCTGTCCTAAATGATTCTATGATCCACTTAACAATCCATCTGGATAATGGAAATGTGATGCCAGACAGAACTCTGTTCTGTTGAGAGATGAGAGAAGCTGAGGTAGCTTCTCTCACACGAAGGTTTAAGTGATATGAGGTATAGAAAGAGGTCACCTGACCATCAAACCCATTCCCCTGTTCAGTACAGCAACGTGCCTCTGTACCAAATCACTTGATACCCTTCTCCAACAAAAGCCTCAGTCTTGAAGAAGATCTTTTCTGAAGAAGGGTCCACACCCAAAACGTCAGCTTTCCTGCTCCTCTGATGCTGCTTGGCTTGCTGTGTTCATCCAGCTCTACACCTCATCTCAGCCTTGAGAGTCTGCTAGAGCCCAACACTGACAGCTCCTTTATGGAATCATACGGCACAGAGTGAGGTCAGTCATGTTTCTCTGATGTGCCACTTCCTTACAGTCTCCCTGTAATCCTTACGGGGCTGAGATCCAGATTTCCACAATCCCTCACATGATACAAGTTGCTGATCTCACTCCAGAACAGCCAAGATCAAAGCTTAAGATCATGTCCCCATGTTCTCAAAATCCACACCAGAGGAATTATTTTGTACAATCCGACCCCATTTGATTCTTGTTCCATGTTAAGCACTTCTATAATTGGATCACCACTCGATCATAGAATCATAGAATTTTACAATACAGGAGGCCATTCGACCCATCATGTCTGTTCCAGCTCCTCAAAAAGCTACCCAGCTAGTGCTACCCTCCAAGTCCCATCTCCGTTAGCCCTCTAACTTCATCACTTTCAAATATCTACCCAGCTCTCTTTTGAAACCTTCTACAGAATCCACCTCCACCAGTCTCCCAGGCAGCACATTTCAAATCCTTAAAACACTGAGTAAAGAAGTTTCTCCTCATCTCACTCCCAGCTCTCTTGCTGATAAACTTAAAATTGTGAATGCAAGATACTGACATACCAACTAGTGGAAACAGAATATCCTTCTTTACTCTGTCAAAATTGTTCATAACTTTGAACACCTCAATATGGTCACTTCCTAATCTTCTCTGTTCCAAGGAGAATAAGGTCAATTTCTCTAATCTTTCCTTGCATCTAAAATCTCTCATTCCTGGTATCATTCTAGTAAATCTTCTTTGATCTCTCTCCAGGGCTTTAACATCCTTCCTTCAATAAGGTCCCCAGAACCGAACACAACACTCCAAATGTAGTCTGACCAATGATTTGTAGAGGTGTATCATCACTTCCTTGCATTTATACTCTGTGCCTCTGTTTATAAACTCAAGAATCCTATAAGCCTTCTTAACAACTGTTTCAGTTTGCCTGGCCACCTTCAGGAATCAAACACATGAACCCTGAGTTCCTCTGCTCCCATACTCCCCTCAACGTTGTATCATTGAGTCTGTATTGTCTCTTTGTGTTCCTTCCACCAAAATGCTTTACCTCACAATCTGCCACAGTCAGGGAATACCAGTCATGTAACTCAACCTGTCCTCATAATGCATCCCCTTAAGCTCGGGTGTCATCATGGGAACTCTGTGCTGAATCCTCCTCCTTCCTGAGATTTAACAGAGCTGTTTAAAATCACAAGGAGTCCTGATTCAGTGAACAAGGAGAAACCATCTTGCCTCGCAAGAGGGTCAATACACAGAGTAGACAGATTTGAAGCAATTAGCAAAGGAACTGAGAGAGAGCAGGAGTGGTTTACTTTTTAGAAATTCATGGTGGGTTGGTATGATTTAGAATGTGCTGCCTGAAAAGGCAGGTTCAAAAGGGAACTAGCTAAATTATTGAAGGAGATATCACCGAGCATTGGGATTAATACGATAGTTCTTTCTGGGGCTGGCATGGTCAAGAGCGGGCGGAATGGCCTTCTTCCATGATTCTCAGACCAGAGGAAGTAACATTGATGTAGCTCATTGCGATGTCAGAAACTGGTGCAAATAATGTGGGTTTTTTTTAAAACAAATTTGCACTGTGTGCTTCCAGTGTAGAATACTGTTGATTATGGGGAAACTACACATGTATATAGAAGCGTTGAATGATCCAGCACATGCATTCGGTCCAACGTTTCTGTGCCAGCTCTTTCAAAGAGCGGTCCCATTAGCCCCACTCCTCCACTCTTTCCCTGTGGAACTGTAGCTGTTTCCTTGTCAAATAGTTCAATTATTCTTTTTGAAAGTTTCAACTGAATCTGCTGTCATCAGCCTTTCCGGCAGTGACTTCCAGATCATCACAACTCTCAGTTTGAAAACACCACTCCTGCCAATTATCTTCAATCTGTGTCATAGAACATAACAGCGCAGTACAGGCCCTTCGGCCCTCAATGTTGTGCCGACCTGTGAAACCAATCTGAAGCCCATCTAACCTACACTATTCCATTATCATCCATATGTTTATCCAATGACCATTTAAATGCCCTTAAACTGGGCGAGTCTACTACTGTTGCAGGCAGGGCATTCCACGCCCTTACTACTCTCTGAGTAAAGAACCTACCTCTGACATCTGTCCTATATCTATCACCCACAATTTAAAGCTATGTCCCCTCGTGCTAGCCATCACCATCCGAGGAAAAAGGCTCCCACTGTCCACCCTATCTAATCCTCTGATCATCTTGTATGTCTCTATTAAGTCACCTCTTAACCTTCTTCTCTCTAACGAAAACAGCCTCAAGTCCCTCAGCCTTTCCTCATAAGACCTTCCCTCCATACCAGGCAACATCCTGGTAAATCTCCTCTGCACCCTTTCCAATGCTTCCACATCCTTCCTATAATGCGGCAACCAGAACTGTACGCAATACTCCAAGTGCAGCCGCACCAGAGTTTTGTACAGCTGCAATGTGACCTCATGGCTCCGAAACTCAATCCCTCTACCAATGAAACCTAGCACACTGTACGCCTTCTTAACAACGCTATCAACCTGGGTGGCAACTTTCAGGGATCGATGCACATGGACACCGAGATCTCTCTGCTCATCCACACTACCAAGAATCTTACCATTCGCCCAGTACTCTGTGTTCCTGCTACTCCTTCCAAAGTGAATCAGCTCACACTTTTCCACATTAAACTCCATTTGCCACCTCTCAGCCCAGCTCTGCAGCTTATCTATGTCCCTCTGTAACCTGCAACATCCTTCCGCACTATCCACAACTCCACCGACTTTGGTGTCATCCGCAAATTTACTGACCCATCCTTCTATGCCCTCATCCAGGTCATTTATAAAAATGACAAACAGCAGTGGCCCCAAAACAGATCCTTGAGGTACACCACTAGTAACTGAACTCCAGGATGAACATTTCCCATCAACCACCATTTCTGTTAACTGTTCTCTGTTAACAACTCGCTTGTCACCAGAAACACTTCCTCCTTATTTATTCTATAAAAATCCTCAAAGTAGAAAGTGATTCAAAGTTACATCCGGAGAATGAGATGAAATGGGGCAGGAGATAGCTCACCTCACAAACAGAAACTAGCATCAAGAGCAGGCCATTTGGCCTTTTGAGCATGCTCCACCGTTCAATGTGGTCGTGGTTGATCATCCAACTCAATTCCTCTTTCACTTTCTCTCCATTCACCTTGATGTTTTTAAAATCTAAAAATGTATCAATGTCTTTCTTGGATATTTTCAATCACTTCATCTCCACAGGCTTCTGTGCTAGAGACATTCACAGGTTCATCACTCCCAGGGTTAAGAAATATTTCCTCATCTCAATCCTAAATGATCGTCCCTGTTTCCTGAGACTGTGTCCCCAGGTTCTGGACTCCCCACCCAGGGGGAACATCCTCTCTGCATCGAGTCTGGTCACCCTGTTAGAACCTTACATGCTTCAATCAGATCCCCCTCATCCTTTGAAACTCTAGCGAATACTGGCTCAGTCAAACCAACTTCTCCTCATGGGACAATCCTGCCATCCCCAGTATCAGCCAAGTGACCCTCTGATGCATTCTCTCGATGGTGAGTCTGTCCTCTCTTGGGGATGGAGACTAAATCTGCACACAGTACTCCAACTGTTGTCTCACCAAGCCCCTGTATCACTGCAGTAAGACATCCCCATTTTGGAACTCCAATCCTCTCACAATGAAGGCCAATATACCATTTCCCTTCCTAATTGCTTGCTGCAGCTGCCTGTTTACTTTCATTGACTAATGTACATGGACACCCAGATCCCTCTGCACATCCACACTTCCCCATGTATCTCCATTTAAATCATACTCTACCAGTTTTTCCACAGTGAAGTGTATAACTTCACATTTACCCACATTGTACAGCATCTGTCATGCGTTTGCCCACTCACTCAACTTGTCTAAATCACCCTGAACACTCCTTACACCCTGCTTACAACTCACAGTCTGACCCATTTTTGACTAATCAGCAAACTTAGAAATATTGCAGTTGGTTCCATCATCCAGGTCATTTATGTAAATGATGAATAGCTGGGGTGCAAGTACTGATCCCTGTGGAACCCCATTAGTCACTGCCTGCTACTTGGAAAAATACCCATTTATTCCCATCTCTCTCTCTTGTCTATCAACCAATTCTTGATCCAAGTCAATTCACTAACTGTTTGCTTTCATTTTGCCTACTAAAGACTTATGTTGGGATCTTACCAAAGTCCTTCTTGAAATCCAAATACACCACATCCACTGGTTCCCCCTCACTTCTTTTACTAGTTACCTTCTCAAAAGAATCCAGTCAATGGTTAAGCATAATTTGCTTTTCATAACCTCTGCTGACTTTGCTTAATCCCATTAATGGTTTCCAAGCCTTCTGTTAACCTATTTGTTTATAACAGACTCTCGCATTTATTTTCCCCAGTGCTGATGCCAGGCGAACTGGTCTGTAGTTCTGTTTGTTCCCTTCCTCCTTTTTTAAAATAATGGAGTTACATTTGGCATCCTCCAATCTGTAGGTACTGCCCCTAGTATCTGATGGGCCAAACAGCCTGTCTCTGTGCTGTAGATACAACCTAATGAAGGGGAGTAGAGTTGATGAGAAAGGCTGATGTCAAGCATATACCAGAACAGAACCCTCTCTCCAGAGGCAGGGAGGACAGAGACAGTAATCACCAAAAGAACCAGAAATAACACCAGGAAACAAGTTGTTGTGATTTGGTACATGCTGCCTGGAAATGCAGAGGAAGGAGTTTCACAAGGAACTTTCAAAGAGAATTGAACAAGTACAGTGAAGGTTTGTTATAACACAGACGCTGGGGTCCAGAGTGTGAAACCACATTATTGTTGCACCATGTAAAAATAAACTCTTATTTTAATGAGTGAAATGAATAATTAAATAAAGATTTACTTCTTTTTGGACCCGTGAGTCCACACACTTTCAAGTGAACATGTGGTGCATTAAACCGGGTGACAACGGACCTCTACTGAAACCACCGGGTGAAAAATATAAGGCCAATTGTGGGGGAGGAATGGGATAAATTGAGCAGCTCTTGCAAAGAGCCAGCATAGGTATGATGGCCCAAATGGCCTTCTCCTGTTGCACAGCCATTCCCTGAAGCTAAGATTTTAAGATGGTCTGCAGGCCATTGCCCTGCTGTACTGTGTAACATTGACATTTTTTCTGTGCCCTTGAATGAAACTCAGATTACAGACGGGAAGTGAGGCATGACGGTAAGATCAAAAGTGACTGGTCTCTGCACTTCTCTGGAGATTCCAGGACTCAGTTTGGCTGTTGAACAAACACAATCTGGAATCACTTTCTCCAGCAAACATGCCTTCTGACTTGAAGCTGATAATTTTAAGCATTCATTACATGCAAGTGCAAATTTAATATTTTCAGTCTCACTCTCAGGAAGAATGATGTTGCTGCACAAGAAAGGGCTGAAAAAGAACAAAAATAAAGACTTTTCCTGCCTCATTCTTCAGAAAAATGTGTGTAATATGTGTTCCAACAAACAAGGCTGGACAAGTGAGCACAATTCAAATCATGTGGGTCAATTAATCTGAATCAGCAGAGCACGGAATTCTGATACAGCAGATGTTCCTGGGAATGCTTAAATGCAAATTGTCACATGAGGATGATTAAATGATGGTGTGGGTTATACTTTACTGAGGTTACAGTTCAGATTGTTTACCCATTGAATGCCAAACACACATTCGTCATGCAAGCACAGACAAAAACACGCAAGTCTCATACATGTAGACACAAAAAAACAGGAGGAATGTTCCCAATGACTGGGGAGTCCAGAACAAGGAGACTGGGCAGGCCATTTAGGAGTGAGATGAAGAGAAATTTCTTTACCCAGAGAGTGGGGAGCCAGTGGAATTCTCTATCAGAGAAAGCGATTGAGCCCAAAACATTGACTGTTTTCAAGAACAAGTTAGATATAGTTCTTAGGGCTAAAGAGATCAAATGGTATGGGGAAGATGCAGGAACAGGGGACTGAGTTGGATGATCAGCCATGGTCAGATTGAATGGCCTATTCCTGCTCCTATTTTCGATGTCTACACCCACACACAAAACACACATGAATGTCTCTCTCTCTCTCTCTCTCTCTCTCTCTCATACACACACACACACACACACACACACACACACACACACACACGTGCAGGAATGGTTCTCTCCAACGCACATATCTCATTCACGCATGCACAAATGATAAGGGTTCAGTAATGGGTTCTCCTGGGGATTTACCCTTGGGAGAGATAAAGGACTATTTAACAGGATCACTACACCATGCAATACACAGTCGATATTTCTAAACTGTAAATGGTAGAACCCTTACGAACATTAACATACAGACGTATCTGGGTGTGCAGGTCCACGGTTTGCAGAAGTGGCAACACAGGTGGCCAAAGTGATCAAGAAGGCATATGGCATGCTCGCTTTCATCGACCGGGGCATGGAGTACGGCAGTTGGCAAACCATGCAGCAGCGATATAAAACCCTCGTTAGGCCGCGTTTGGAGTATTGTGTGCAGTTTTGGTCACCACACTACCAGAAGGACGTGGAAGCTTTGGAGAGAGTGCAGAGAAGGTTCACCAGGATGTTGCCTGGTCTCCAGGGCATTGGTTATGAGGAAAGGTTAAAAAGACTAGGATTGTTTTCACTGGAAAGATGGCGGCTGAGAGGAGACCTGATAGGGGTTTACAAAATTATGAGAGGCATAGATAGGGTGGTTAGTCAGAAGCCTTTTCCTAAGGTTGAAGTTTCAATTACAAGGGGGCACAGGTTCAAGGTCATGGGGGAAAGTTTAAGGGAGATGTGCGAGGAAAGTTTTTCACACAGAGAGTGGGAGCAGCCTGGAATGCACTACCAGAAGAGGTTTTGGAAACGGGCACATTGAAGGCATTATTGAGGCACCTCGATGGGTACATGAATAGGGAGGGAATAGCGGGATACAGATTGAAAAATGGCAGGTTTGTTTTTAGATTAATTAGGGCATGATGGTCGGCACAGGCTTGGAGGGCCGAAGGGCCTGTTCCTGTGCTGTACTTTTTCATTTGTTCATTTCATTTGTTCATTTGGAAGAGCTGTGCAGTCTGATGCTGATGGCTCCTTTAATAAATACATCTTATTTCCAGTGTAATGACAAGGTATTTTTCTAACAAATGGCACTTACTCTGTTAAGTAGATCAATTTCTTCCTTCAGTTTCCCAATCAGGTCATCCCTGTCCTGTAGCAGTTTGATTAGTTTCTGATTCTCTTGTCGCTCCTTGGCAAGATCCTGGTGGTAACAGATATTAGTCGCATTCAGTCCAGGTTTAAAATAATTGATTAACCATGTGTACATCAAGTTTTAAAAGATACATTCTGGAATAGTTATCCCTGAAGGTTATATCATTTCTGTTTTTAAATGAAAGACAATGGTTAGTGGCAGTCTTATTTGTCAAATTTAGGCAGCTCTAATCAGGGTGATGGTGTACTGTCATGACCCTGGGCTGCTAAACCAGAGGGCCAGGCTGATATTTCGGGGACACATTTTGGGCAGCTGGAACATAAAGCTGGTCTCAGTGATTGTGACCATGAAGCCATCATCGATTGGAGTAAACTCCCATCTGGGTCACAAATGTCTTTAGGGGAAGGAAATCTGCCATCCTTACCTGGTCTGGCCTACATGTGACTCCAGACCCATAGCAATGTGACTGACTTTTAACTGCCCTCTGAAATAGCAAGTTACTCAGCACAAAGGACAATTCAGGATGGCTAACAATGAAAAGAACTATATAAAGAAGTAGAATGCACTAAAATATCAGTGCTGAGGAAATGCATTGGAAAAGAGAGTCACTGTATGAAATCTAGTGCATGACCAACCAGAATATTGCATACTCCACACACACTCACTCTCTCTCACACACACACTCACTCTCACTCTCTCACACACACACACACTCACTCTCTCACACTCAGTCACACACACACTCTCATATGCAGTCTCACCCAGTCTCTCATACACAGACATACATGCCCACATGTGTACAACACACGCACAAGATACAGACAGACACATTCACAGACACACACAGATACTCACACAGACACACACGCATGCACTGTCGCTCTCACACAGCCACACGCGCGCGCACACACACACACACACACACACACACACACACACACACACACACACACACACACACGTATCTGTATTGTTAGGTACCTTTTCAAGTTCTTCCAATTTCTTCTCTAATGTATTGCTGAAGGTGGAACTTGAAGCGTTTCCATAGCGATTAAAGCCAGGCCTCTCCACTCGGCCAGAATATCTGCTGCTAGATGAATACGCGGTGATGTCTTCTTCAGGAGCATTCGTGGTGCTGTGTGAACACAGGTGAAGACTTTCAACCTTCAACATGAAGTAAAAGTGCAGCAGAACGAACCATCATAGGAGCAGAAAGGCTGACGTTTCGGGCCTAGACCCTTCATCAGAAAAGGGGGAGGGGAAGGGGGCTCTGAAATAAATAGGGAGAGAGTGGGAGGCGGATAGAAGAGGGATAGAGGAGAGGACAGGTGGAGAGGAAACAGACAGGTCAAAGAGGCGGGGATGGAGCCAGTAAAGGTGAGTGTAGGTGGGGAGTTCAGGAGGAACCAGATCACCCCCAACGGACTACAATCCACATTCAAGCCTTACCTGTCCGTCCTCCCTAGACTGACCTATCCCCTCCCTAACTCCCCACCTACACTCACCTTTACTGGCTCCATCCCCGCCTCTTCGACCTGTTTGTTTCCTCTCCACCTATCCTCTCCTCTATCCGCCTCCCACTCTCTCCCTATTTATTTCAGAACCTCCTTCCCCTCCCCCTTTTCTGATGAAGGGTCTAGGCCCGAAACGTCAGCCTTTCTGCTCCTATGATGCTGCTTGGCCTGCTGTGTTCATCCAGGCCTGCACCTTGTTGTCTCGGATTCTCCAGCATCTGCAGTTCCTACTATCTCAGAATGAAGCATATTGGGTGCTGTACAATATCATGGATTAACTGTGCGATACTGAATGACAGCAGCTTTATTGTAGGGTCTTGGTGGAGCCACACAATGCACCAAGCTATCCCCATGAATATTTGTCTTCATTATTGTCTCAGCCCTGGTCTCCTAGGGCACATCTCCACCTCCAGATTCAAGTCTCATTCCAGAGTCCTGAGCACAAAATCCCAACTGATCCCTCCAGTACTAATGAGAAGGGAATGCTGCACTATTAGAGGTCCCATCTTTCTGAGTCAGAAATTAAACTAAAGCCCTGTCTGTCCTGTTACATTCCCTGGTACTTTGAAGAACAGGGAGAAAATTTCTGGCCAATAGTTACCTACAACTCTAAAATGCTTGGCCATTCCCTCCTTGATGTTTGGTGGAAGCTTGTTACGAGCAAATTGGTTGTCACATTTCAGAAGTAGCAATGACGACTGCACCGTAAAGCATTTTAGGACACAGTCATAAAGTCATAGAATAATACAGCATGGAAACAGGCCCTTCAGCCCAAACTGGTCCATACTGACCATGGTGCCCAATCAGCTAGTTCCAATTGCCTGCATTTGGTCCGTATCCCTCTAAACCCTTCCCATCTATGTACCTATCCAAATGTTTTTTTAAATGTTGCCATTGTACCTGCCTCAGTCACTTTCTCTGGCAGCCCATTCCATACACACACCACTCTGTGTGAAGAAGTTGCTCCTCAGGTCCTCCTTAAATCTTTCCCCTCTCACCTTAAACCTATGCCCTCTAGTTTTCAATTCGCCCATCACTGGGAAAAAGAGGACATGCATTCATCCTATCTATGTCCCTCATGATTTTATGCATCTCAATAAGGTCATCCCTCAATCTCCTATGTTCCAAGGAATAAAGTCCTATCCTGGCCAACCTCTCCCTATAACTCAGGCCTACTAGTCCCGGCAACATCCTCGTAAATCTTTGCACGCTTTCCTGTTTAACTATGTCGTTCCTATAATAGGGTGACCAAAACTGTACACCATTCTCCAAGTGCGGCCTTACCAACAACTTACACAAATGTAACATAACGTCCCAACTCCCATACTCAATGCCATGACTGATGAAGGCCAGCATGCTAAATGCCTTCTTCACTGCCCTGTCTACCTGTGATGCTGCTTTCAACGAACTATGTACTTGTACTCCAAGGTCCCTCTGTTCCACAACATTCCTCAGGAGCTCACCAGTTACTGTATAAGTCCTACCTTGGTTTGACTTTCCAAAGTGCAACACCTCATACTTGTCTGTATTGAATTGCATTTGCCAATTCTCAGCCCTCAGGATGTCTTGAGATAGTTAATGACAAAATGCTAGCCTTTTGGTTTTGTTTAATGGTTGGGTATGGAAGCTCATGGTCTCAAAGATACATCTGTGATACCTTCTGATAAAGACTGAATATAAATTCCACATGAAAATGTTAGCAGTGTAGAAATAAAATGCTAGATCTGGAGGCTGTCCTGACATCTAGGACATGATGAGGATATCAGAAACTTATACCAGAGGAAGGAAATAAAAATAATATTCCCAAAAAGTGAAGTGCACCCCCATTTCCTGAAGAGATCAGGCTGTAAGACAAGGGGAAGGGGGTGGTGGCTGATAATTGGGATCCAAAACAACTGGTTTTGGGGACACAAAACAAGACAACAAATAAATTCAGAAAGTGCTGGGGGATGGGGGGAAGACAGTGTGTTGGGGGGGGGGGGGGGGGAGGGGAGGAGAAGAGAGTGAGAGTTAACGGCTCAGGTCTGTGACCTTTGATCAAAACTCTGAATACATCGTAGATAACTCTGATTAAATCAAAACAAGGAGGGGTTTCTTTAATGGAACATCTCTTGGGTGAGGCAGACACGGCTGTGGAAAGTTTTAAGTCGGTGTATTTCCAACAGTGAAGCTGTGTTAAAAAAAAAACTAAGAACTGTGGGTGCTGTAAATGGGAAACAAACACAAACAGAAATTGCTGGAGAAACTCAGCAGGTCTGGCAATACCCGAAGACAGAGAAACAGAGCTAACATTTTGAGTTCAGTGACTTGTTGCCAGAACAGTCGTGTTGGTGCCATCAGCTGAACAGAATTGGATTTCAGAAGAAAGGGACTGACTGAAGTGTTATCTGTCACAAGAGAACAAAACCTGGTCACAGAAACAATAAAATATTGAAACAAGGAAAGGTTGTAGCAAGTACATCAGATACACCTGGAAGGGGAAAGAAGTTATTAAAAAAAGTTTAATTTCTTCCAGTTTTAGTGGTGACCAATGTGAGACATTGACTTTGTTTCTCTCCATACAGAAGCTGCCAGACCTGCAGAGTTTCATTAGCAATTTTTGTTTTTATTACAGGACCAACAGTACGAAGACTGTCAAGCCAACCACAAAGGAATGCCTATTCAAGGAACACGACAATTTCACTCATCTTACTTCTTTATGGAACGGCAAAGTTACTTCAACAAGTAACATGAATCTAACTGAGTGGGAAACCCCCCCCACCCCCAACCTTGTCTGAGGCTCAGCTGGTAAATGTTATGCATGATTGATTCATGACTCAGGGCTTTGGAGATAAAGGAGACTGCGCTCAACTCTGCCCACTATTCATCAATAACACAAAGTACAAAAAATGCAAGTCACGCCACTCAGCAAGGAGCAGTAAACACACAGTAAGGAAGATTAATATGATCGACCTCATTTGGAATGTTGTGCGCAGTTCTGGTCGCTGCATTTTAAAAAGAATATAGACACATCGGAGATGTACAGAGGAATGTAAAGGAGTCTAGGCAGAGTGGTTGGGAAGGTCCTTTTTCCCTTCGAAGAGAGGTCAATAATCAAGAGCATAGATTTAAAGTAATTGATAGAAGGATTCAAGGCAGGTTGAGCAAAGGGCAGCAAGGGCCTGCAACTTGCTGTACTAAGAGTGGAAGAAGAAACCCTCAACTCATTTCAAAAATAGCTGGAATACACATCTGAAGTTCTGTAAGCAACAGGGCGATACTCCCAGAGCTGACTGCATTGCTTTTTCACCCAGCACAGATATGAAGGCCAAATGGTCACCTTGATGCTTTGTAAAATTCAAACCTGTTGGACTATAACCTGGTGTCATGTGACGTCTGATTTTGTCCAGCCCCAGTCCAACACCAGCACCTCCACATCTTTCATCGGAGATGGTACTAAAAGTATTGGTCAGGACGACAGCAATGAGGCACAGTTATATGAAGCAGGCAAGGATGACCAGGCTGCATCTCATTACTCTGTGAGAAGGCTGACAGGTGGCTCATTAGAGGCTTCAAACAATCACAAAAGGTTTCTCTGAGTTGCACCTGAGGAGAATATGGGCAAGAGTAGAACTGGAGGCTTTCAGTGGGGGATAGGTACCAAGAAACCCAACAGGTTTTTAAAGAGAAGTGGTGAGAATTTGTAAGCTGCTCCCACAGAGAGAAGGAAAGGTGAATTTTACAGAAGCATTTCAGGAGAAGCTAGAGAAACACAAAGGAATAGAGGGTTCCGCTTGAGATAGAGATGAAAGTTGGGGAGGAGGCTGAATGCAGCAGAAATGGCAGCATGAATTAGTTGGACCTGTCTGTGTGCTTAATATGAAATATGAAACATTATTCCTTTATTTTTCCTTTTCATGCAAGGAAGGACTGTAATGTTAACTTTTAACTTTATTTTTCTACCTTACACTAAGAACAATGGTAAAGTTTTACTTTTAACTTTGTTTCTCGATGTTGCTACTTGTATCTAAGATGTATGCCTTGGTACCTTCGTACTAAGATGGTGCCGTGTGGGATAACATTGTAAACTTTTCACTGTACTTCCAGACTTTTGTACCTGAGTGCATGTGACAATAAACCTTAAATCAAATCAATTCAAATTTAACAAACTGCAGTTCAGAAATAAAACTGAACATGAGGCAGGAATGTAACCTTGTAATGGGTCAACTGTAAAGACATGAGGGAACACCTTAGGCACATTAATTGGTGGGAAAGGTGTCCTTTCCATAACACTTTGGTAAAGGTTAATTCAGCAACTTACAGAGTTGGGTACTCTGGTTAAAGTGATTGTATTAACTTACAAACTCCACAAAAGTGGTATGGAAAGGATCCCTCGCCAACAATTAATGTCTAAGTTGTTCCCTCAAGTCCTTACAGTTGCCCCATTAAAATGTTATACATGCCTCCTGAACATTTAAACAAAAGAAACCAAAAGAACTGCAGATGCTGGAAATCAGAAACAAAAACAGAAATTGCTGGAGAAACTCAGAAGGTCTGGCAGCATCTGTGGACAGAGAAAGCAGAGTTAATATTTCGAGTCCAGTGACCCTTCTCCAGAAGTCTTTTTCAGACCTGCCAGGTATCTCCAGCAATTTCTGTTTTTGTTTCCAATTTCCAGCATCCGCAGTTCATTGCTTTATAGCAATCCATAGACAGCTTTGACCAAAAACAATTCAAACAATTGATCTACAGAGTCAATGAAGTGGAAGACAAGTCAGTGCAGTGTAAAGGTAAAGCTGTACTGTATTCCCATTAGATCACAACTCTAATACCCCATCTAGAACACAGAACAGCAGAAGAACAGGCCCTTCAGCCCACTATGTCTGTGCTGACTATGATGCCATTCTAAACGGATCCTATTTGCCTGCACATGGTCCATATCCCTCTATTCCCTGCCTGTTCGTGTGTCTGTCCAATGCCTCTTAAATATTATCATATCAGCTCTAAAACCTCCCCTGGCAGAGCATTCTAGGCACCTACTACCATCTGAGTAAAACCTTGCCTCATCTAGTTTTGATAAAAATGGCAAAGTCACCATAGTCCTGCAAGATCATAGGGCACCTTTCTCATGAGAAAGAGATGACTGATGGTGATTTAACCTGAGGGTCACCATGCCAGAGGTTGAGAAGGAGAGTCCTTCACATGGTAACCTCAAGACTCTTCTGACTTACTCCATCAAAACACTGCATAATTTTGACTACCTCCACAACCAAGCCCCAGTAGAAATTTATTTATCATAAATTAAAGTTACTAGCTTTGTTAACTATAAGCTGCTTGTCCCGCAAGCAGAATTCAAATAAACAGAAGAAATTTCACGCAAGACAATAAAATCGATAACTGATATTTGTCACCAGGAATTGTCAAATCATGGGCACATTGCTGTCAAATTCCCCATCTCTCCTGTGAATGAAGAAACCATGTGTGGTCAGTGTACAATCAGCTTAAGATGATCACATGTGACTGCATCATAATCAGCCCGAAAAGGTACAAAATTAAATTTAGGAGTAACAGAAATCTCTCTCTAACTAACTTTCCTGACTCTAAGTGAAGGTTATTGAACTAATTATTGCTTAACAGCAGGTCTTATTCGTTCTATACCAACATTTATAAAGAATATCTTTTGTGAGACAGGAGTAATAACTGATTTATTATTTGTGGAAATTACCTATGCTCACCAAAATATTAATAATTTACATGATTTCAAAGTTTCCTTTGGGTTAATTCTATTTTTCATTCTCTAATGAACTATTTCTATCCCCTGCAAAAAAGCACCTTCTGGGACCTGAACTCAGCCCAAAGATTTTACAGCCAATGAAATGTTGTAATGTACGTAACAAAAGACCATAAGGAATAGGAACAGCATAAGCTGTTCGGCCCCTTGAGCCTGCTCTGCCAGTCAATAAGATCACAGCTGATCCAACATTCCTCACATCCTTTCCTGCCCTTTCCCTGTAACCTTTGTGAAATAACTGCACAGAGGCCGGTATCCTATCGCCAAGTCACCCTTTATTTACTTGTGCACAGTACCACCGGCTCGAGCCAGCCAGCTCGGAATCAGTCCCCTGAACGGAGGAGATTCTAAATCCCCTGTTAATTTTTTTTTGTTGGTTTTTTTCCCACTGACAATTCAGAGTCAGTCGCCTCAACTGTGGAGATTCTGATCTCCTGGTTATTTTTTTTTTTACTTTCCCCTGAACTAAGAGTTTTTTTTCTTCTTCCCCTATACTACTAACATCCAGCAGTAGTGCTTATCCTCCCCAGCACCCTTGTTGTGCGTGTGCAGGCTTGAGACACAGTTAAAAAAAAAACAACAGATGTGCAAATAACTTTATTAACATACCACCACAAGGAAAGGCACCCATGTGACTGAAGAACCAGTATCAAGCAGAACGCCTGTAGGGACAATGCCTATGTGAAAGAAAAAGCGAGGGGGAGGGCAGGGATCAAATCAAAATAGAGTTTGTGGAAGAAACAAAGCACTCCACACCATCCCCTATTAATATCGGTCAGCCAGGGCTTTCCCGAATGGCCCACGTTAACAATCTCATGGTCAACAAGATCCACCTGGTTCCAATCACTACACCTTGATTTCCTGATTGATCAAGAATCTATCTATCTCAGCCTTAAATATACACAAGGACTCAGGCCCCACAGCTCTCTGTGGCAAAGGAATTGCAAAGACTCACAACCCTCTGAGGGGAGAAATTCCTCCCTATCACAGCCTTAAACTAGAGCCCCTTTATTCATGCAGCTATCTTGTGCACAGTAAACTCCCACAAACAGCAATCTGATAGTGCCTAGATAACCTACAAACATGGAGAAATTCAGAAGTCATTGGGCTCGAAAAATTAACTCTGTTCCTCTCTCTCCATGCCAGACCTGCTGAGTTTCCCCAGCATTTTCTTTTTATTTCGAATTTCCGGAATCTGCAGTATTTTGCTTTAGTTTAGATAATCTATTTCTGATGGTGTTTGCTGGGGGATGGACATTGGGCAGAATTTCTCTGTTATTCCTCTAAACAGTATCAAGGGATTTTTAACGTGCACCTGTTCTTTGAAAAATAGGAACAGGAATAGGCCATTCAGCCCCTCAAGCCTGTTCCATCATTTGGAGACATCATGGCTGATCTGTGGCCTGACTCCATATACCTGCCATATCCCTTTACACATTTTCTTAACAAAACTCTTTCTCTCTCAGATTTAAAATTAACATAACTGATCTAGCAATGATGGTTCCTCTGACAGTGCAGCACTCCCTCCGGATTGGCACTGGGAATGTCCGTTTGAATAACATGCTCAAGTCTGTGAAAGGGACTTGAATTCAAAACTTCCTGAATCAGGAGTGAAAATGTGCTGCCCACAGAACTAAATGGTGTTAAACAAAATTCCACTAACAGTACACTAGCCAGAGATTAGAGACAGAGAGGTCTACAGCGCAGAGAAAGGCCTTTCAGCTCATTGAGTCTGCACTGGTCAAAACAACCACCGCACTATTCTAATCCCATTTCCGTGCACTTGGCGCATAGCAAGTGTACAGCTAAATACTTGTAGAGTCATAGAGAAGGAAACAGACCATTTGGCCCAACTTGTCCATATCAACAAGATATCCTAAATTAATCTAGTCCCATTTGCCAGCATTTGGCCCATATCCCTCTAAACCCTACCTATTCATTTACCCATCCAGATGCCTTTTAGATGTTGTAATTGTACCAGCCTCCACCATTTCCTCTGGCAGCTCATTCCATACACGCACCACCCTCTGTGTGAAAAAGTTGCCCCTTAAAGTCCCTTTTAAATCTTTCCCCTTTCACCTTAAACCTTTGCCTTCTAGTTCTGGACTCTGCTACCCTGGGGAAAAGACCTTGGATATTCACCCTATCCATGCCTTCATGATTTTATGGACTTCTGCAAGGTCACCCCTCAGCCTCCGACTCTCCAGGGAAAATAGCCCCAGCCTATTCAGCCTCTCCCTATAGCTCAAACCCTCCAACCCTGGCAACATCCTTGTAGATGGCAAGGATTGCAGATGCTGTAGCGTTAGATAACAGTGTGGAGCTGGAGGAACACAGCAGGCCAGGCAGCATCAGAGGAGCAAGAAAGTTGATGTTTCGGGTCGGGACCCTTCTTCAGAAAATATTCTAAAGAAATTTTCTGAAGAAGGGTCCCGACCCAAAACATCAACTCTCCTGCTCCTCTGATGCTGCCTGACCTGCTGTGTTCCCCCAAATCCACACAAAGATATCTCAACATCTTTGTACATCTTTTCTGAACCTTTCAAGTTTCATAGCATTTTTCATATAGTAAGCAGACCAGAACTGAATGCAGTATTGCAAAAGTGTTTTGAGGGTTTCTGCCTCTCCCACCCTTACAGGCAGTGAGTTCTAGATTCCCATCACCCTCTAGGTGAAAAAGCTTTTCCTCACATCCCATCTAAACCTCTGTCCGTTACCATACCTGGTCTCTGCTCCCCCCATCAAGGGGAAAAGTTTCTTCCTGTCTACCCTGTTTATGCGCCCATCATTTTATCCAACTCAATCCTGTTCCCTCTCAACTCCTCTGCTCCAAGGAAAACAACCCTAGTCTGTCTAATCTCTCTTCATTAACGTTGGATCTTTATGATCTCTATGAATCAACAGCTTACTGGAAATCTGGAGATCAACAAGCATTATATATACACACACCAAGTATTATATACAACGCAGTGCAAGGGGCTGGTCTGTTTTTCACTACATTTACAGCTAGTTCTATCACACTCGATCACTTAGGGCTCATTGTGAAGACTGTGCAGGAAGCTGGATTTGCCAGCACCAGTCAGTGACCAGTTCGCCTCTGGTGCTGAGATACAATCCAAACAACCCCTGCCCAGTCTCTCTCTGCACTGCCAGCCAGGAGCAAGTTCAACACAATGCTGCAGCTAGCAAGCTGCCAAAACCAGCGGCACAACCTCAGTAAGGAGAGGGGAGCAATGAAACAATAGGAAGTGTCTCAGTTGAGGTCAGATCTGATCCTGGATCCACTCAGTCACGCCCTGATGGCCCAGGATATTAATATGTGGGAAAAACAAAGTTTGTATAAAACTGGAACTTAATGAAATGTTTTCTTTACCTTTTCCATCGGCTTGTAGTTCTTGGTGTTTCCTAAAATAAAACAAAAATATTTTTTACTCAGTGATATTTCAGACTTATTTCAAACACATCCTAAATGCTGGTGTTCAGCAGTTTTAAGGCAGAGAGGCGGAGGTCAGGATGTTATCAGTGATTTCAGACAGTTTGGCCATCAGCAGCAATGTGCTAACCACAGGTGACCTTTATCTTTGCGGGACACAAAATATTAACAAAATGAAAAAGGAGAAAAATTGAACAAAGTGTGATGTAAAACCATCAGCACCTTTCCTATGGAATAAGCAGTGTGTATATCAGCCATGATTGAATGGCAGAGCAGACTCGATGGGCCAAATGGCCTTATTCTGCTCCTATATCTTATGGTCTTACGGTGTTTATGTCGCATCCAGTCACATCACCCAGAAACATTGTAAACTGTTTCAAAAGCAATTTGTACTTCATATTCCAAAGTACTCAAGTGTCCATCAAAATGCCACACAAGGGGATATTATTGAAGACGACATTCTTGGTCACAGACGGAGATTTTAAGGGGTGTCTGAAAAGGAGAATGTAGTGATGCAGAGATGGATAAGATCAGGGAAGGAGGCCTGGAGCTTAGGGCCCAGGCAGCTGTAGGGGCAGTCACTAATAGTGCAGCAAATGAAATCAGAAAGCCACAAGAGGCCAGAATTGGAGGAGGACAGAGATCTCAGAGGCTTATGGGGCTGGAGGAGATTGCAGGGAAATGAGACCATGGATGGATTTGATGGGAGCTCATTTGGAAAGGAATGTTGGTCAGGACACCAAAAGTCAAATTATGCAACTATTTATTTTCAATTATTTTTTTGAAAACAGTCATACACCACATTCTGCTGGTCCACATGTTTCTTGTTAGGAAGTTAATTCTATTCAACATTAACTAAGGCCACAGGAGGTACCATTTTGAAATGCTTTTAATACCAGATTGGAATGAAAACACAAGACATTCAGTCCCTCTAACCTGTTCCACCGTTCAATTAGATTGCAGCTGACCTGCATCTTAAACTCCATCGAGTGCTTTGCTTCCTTTAGTGCACTACCTGATAAAAGTCTAGCAGTCTCAGTGTTGGCATTAGTTCACATCTCATTCTCCACAGCCATGTCTTGTATTGATGATGTTAAAACAGAGACCACACTTCAAGAATTTCATTGACCACAGAAACATCGAGTTATCCAGTGGTCACAAGCAATACCATATAAATGAAAATCTTCTTATTTCTCTTTTTTTTCCACATGAAACTTGACTCAAACACAAAACTCCTTGTCACTCGAAATGAGTAACAGATTTTCAACAAACCCCTCCTTAATAACATTGTGGGTTAACCTATAACACACAGACTGCAGCGGTTCAAGAAGGCAGCTCCCTACCACCTTCTCAAGGCTAACTAGGGATGGACAATAAATGCTGGGCCAGCCAGAGATGCCCACATCCCACAGCGCATAAAAAGAAAACAAATCCATTGAAATGTATTGCTCCTGCACCCCCATGCAAATATTAAATAAAATATAGAATGTACAGCACAAAATAGGCCATTCAGCCCAACAAATCCATGCCCTCTCCCTTATCTGTCTAACTTGATCACTATAACGCCAAGATCTACTTATATTTCTTTAAATCTGTTGTGCATCTTCTCACAAGAAAAACCATTGTAAAGGGGAACATTTTATCAATGCATGAGAGGAGAGTTCTTGCAGATCTCGATAGTAGAGGTATTGTCATGGAGAATACATCAGTTAGATGATGACTGGCGATTAACTGCTGTTTTGTTTAAATTTAAACCAGGCAGGGTGACTCTGATTAGTCAAGACATTAACCCGAAGTATCAACCAAAGAATGATTGTTTCCCATTTTGTTAACTTGAATCTCTCCAAGCCCACATACACCATTCTGATTTGTAACAACATCACTGTTCTTTCACTGTTGCTGGGGCAAAGTCCTCAAACTCCCTGCATCACAGCACGGAGATTGTACCTACACTAAATGGATAGCAGCAGTTCTGGAAGGCAGCTCACCACTGAATTCTCAAGGGCACCTGGAGTGGGAGAGTTAATGCTAGGCCAGCCACTGAAGCCCACGACCCCTGAATGCATTTTAGAAACATTGCACTGTACAAACGTGTTCAGAACAAACTGCTTTGTATTAAAACATGTAGCTTCCAGGATGTGCTACTGTAAACTCAACTGACAACCTCAAATTGGTTATTATAATTATAATTATTTGCACACTTGGGATTATTTAGCAATTCTTGTCCAATTGCAGAATCACTTCTTAAGTTGGACACTGTGTTGTCACTTTAGCAAGTGTTTGGGGATGGTCCTGACTGTGCCTATTGTGACGGCCAAAGGAACACACTGTTTGATAACCATCCACGTCAATCTGTACAGTCTACACATCTGGCATCACACAGACACTGAAATTCAAATACCACACTAATTAACTGTGTGACAGGCAGAACAACATTTTGTCTTTACAACAGGATCCTGTTAGTAGAAAATACCACTAGGCTTTTATAAATTCCTTCACGGGATGAGGGTATCGCTGACCAGGCAGCATTTATTGCCCCATCCCTAATTGCCCAGAGGGCCCTTAAGAGTCAATCATATTGCTGTGGGTCTGGAGTCACATGTAGGCCTGACCAGCTAAGGATGGCAGTTTCCTTCCCTAAAGGACATGAGTGAACCAGATGGGTTTTTCCAACAGTCAATAATGGGTTCATAGTCATCATTAGATTCTTAATTGCAGATATTTATTGAATTCAAATTCCATCATCTGCCATGGCGGGATTCAAACCCAGGTCCCCAGAACGTTATCTGGGTCTCTGGATTAACCACTATGGACACAATGACCACTAGGCCATGACCTCCCCCAGGAGGATGCTGAGCTTTTCCAGCAACTTCTATTTTTGTCATTGACAATGGCTTTATAGTCAACATTAGAACCTTAATTCCACATTTTTTTTAAAATTGAATTCAAATTCCACCATTTGCCGTGGCAGGATTCGAACCCAGGTGCACGGAACATTACCTGGGTCCATGGATTGATTGTCCAGTCATAATACCTGCAGGCCATCATCTCTCCAAAGTGTTACTGCACTGAAATCTCATGAAACAGCTTGCTTCACTTGTTGCTCAGATTTTAGATATTTTAACTGAGGCAGACTGGGCAAGTTTCAGAATCAAAACTGGCATTCATGAGTTTGCGTGATGTTCAGCAAAAACTGTGATTAAAGCAACCGTCACCCTGGGATATGGCTTTGATGCATCCAATTTCAGCAAAAGGATGCTACAGTGAACTAATGGTTTGGGACCTATTTACAAGGTTGCAAATATATTAACACAGGGCCTTGTGTGCTGACAGGAAAAATATACACACATATTGTGTCTGTTTCAACTCAACAGAACAGGTGGCAGCCATTTCCTGCTTCATTTCTCATGGAAAGGTTTCGATCAATCAAAGTCAAACCTGCCTACTTTAAAAATGTGAACAGTTAACAGTTAGCAGTTAACTGTCAGTCATCATTTAACTTGAGTACTCTCTGTGGCGGCACCTCTAGCACAGTCCGTAATTTTAAAAATTGTTCAGGGAAAGTGGGCATTGCTGTTTGCATCCATTGCCATCCCTAGTTGCCCCTTGAGAAGGTGGGGGTGAGCTGCCTTCTTGAAGTGCTGCAGTCTGACCCACAATGCCAATAGGGAGGGAATTCCAGGATTTTGACCCAACGACACTGAAGGATCAGTGATATATTTCTAAGTCAGGATGGTGAGTAGCTTGGAGGGGAATTTGCAGGGGCTGGTGTTCCCATGTATTTGCTGCCCTTGTCCTTCTAGATGGAAGTCAACAAACCAATCAGCACCAAGCAAGAAGAACACGCTGCCCAAGGTGTAACATGTTGTTTCTCCTTTAGTTTGGCATTTTTGTGATTTTTCCTGATATTTCAACAATATCTGTGTTTTCTCAGCAATACTCAAGCTCTGTATGACTGAGCAACCATTCATAAATACAGAAGTAATGGATTATGGGCAAACCTGATTATTTCTAATTCTAATTCTTTGCAATAAAATTGCGCCATGGCTGAAAATGGTTTATTAAGGGTATAATCAGGTTTTAATTAAATCAGAAATTCCCGAATGGAAGTGACTGTGAATTCAGATAGCTACGGCTCAACGGCCATCTCTCATTATAAGGTCATTTGTCAAATCCCACAAAAGACCATACAGTCTACTTCAGTGCATTTTTACACTCCACATCCAAGGGAGAATGCACATAACCTGGAAGGAACTACTGTCACAGTAGACACAGAGTACGACAGCTGACACTCCCTAGAGAAATGAGAGACAACCTTAGCTAAAATGCATAAAAGATGAGAGTCCTTGTTGCTGGGGAGCTCCTTCCCCCAGGATCAGGAATCAAGTACACAGGGTCCTGGTTTCAGGATAAGGAGTGCGTGCTCACAACTGAGATTAGGAGAAATTTCTTTCCTCAGCACCTTGTGAATCTTCTCTGCCTACTCCAGAGAGCTGTGGGCATTCATTCAGTCCATTCCACACTCCAATGATGTGCAGATTAGGTGGATTGCCCATGCTAAATTGCACCGTAGTTTCCGGGGAGAGGGGGGGGGCTTGTTTAGGTGGTTAAAGCAGGGTTAGGAAGATAGAGTGGAGGTCTGAGTGGGGTGCTCTTTTGGAGGGTCGGTGCAGACTTGATGGGCCGAATGGCCACCTTCTGCACCATAGGGATTCTATGACGATGATGGTGATTCAAGACCAAGGTCAATTTTTGAATATTAAGAGATATGGGGATGGCGCAGGTTGGTGCAGTTTAAGAGTGACCATGATCTTACTAACATTGAAACACAGAAAACAGGAGGAGTAGGCCATTCGGCCCTTTGAGACTTCTCCGTCATTCAATATGATCACGGCTAATCACCCAACTCAGCCCCCTGTTCCTGGTTTCTCCCCCATGCCCTTTGAACCCTTTAGTCCATACTGCTACGTAC